CCGTTAAACTGTAATGACCCGAGCTCTGAAACACACTCATTATACTCAATTATATTCATGTATGAATTCACCCACCATGGAATACTTATCCTTCCAAACATAGACTCTGTATTTGTATCTGTTTTGTTGCCATTGACTGACTGCCACCTGTCTGTGTGTGTGTGCACTGATGATGTCACCTGCACATGGACACTCAAAGCACTCGATGACTCACACCGACTTCTTAAGATGAAACCGGTGTCTGTGTGGCTGTATAATATCATATTACCTACAGCTCGACTGGTCATTTATTAATTTATTTAGTAAAAAGTAGCTTCCACTCTTCTGAAAAGGGTTTTCAACAAGATTTGGGAGTTTTTGGTTTCTGTGGGAATTTTTGCCCATTCATCCTGAGCATTTGTGAGGTCAGGCACTGATGTTGGAAGAGAAGGCCTGGCTCACAATTTCCGTTCCAGTTAAACCCAAAGATGTTGGATGGGGTTGAGGGCAGGTCTCTGTGATGACCAGTCAAGATCTTCCACACAAATCTCATCCAACCATATCTTTATAGACCGTGGTTTGTGCACTATTCCCCAAACTGGAATAGAAAAGGGCCTTCCCCTAACTGTTCCCACAAAGTTGGAAGCATAGCATTGTCCAATAAGTCATATATGGTGTGCTGAAGCATTATGATTTCCCTTCACTGGAAGTAAGGGGAATAGCCTGAAAAACAGCCCCACACCATTATCCCCCCTCCACCAAATTTTACAGGCACAATGCAGTCAGACAGGTCAAGTTCAACTGGTTTCTGCCAAACCCAGACTCACCCATCAGACTTCCAAACAGAGAAGCGTGATTCGTCACTCCACAGAACACATTTCCACTTCTCCAGAGTCCAGTGGCGGCGTACTTTAAAGGTGAACTAAGTAACTTTTTTACCTTAACTGAACAGCTTTGGAGTGTTGAATGGTGGTCGTCTCGCACCCCCCTGGTGCCTGTGAGCCGCAAAACCACCCTTGCAACTTTGGGCCGGCGGGCCGCCGCCCTCAGTGTTAGGAAGTATCGTGTGATATCAGGTATCGCGAGGTAACGAATTGCTTTACGGCAAAAAACAGATATGATAAAATTATGATAAAATGAGCATCAAACAGAAATAACCCGGCGCCGTATACATGTGGTGTTCGAGGCGCACATACAATACAGACTGCCGACAGTTAAACAGGGCGCGCGCAACTCTTAAAGGGGCCATACCTTATTTCCACTCGTTACAGCGTCCATCCTACTGAACAGGTATGGTGTACAGGGGGAGGGGATCCGGCCGTGAGTGCGAGACATCTCTGCGTGAGTGCTATTCACGACAGTACAAGTACTCCACAGCGACTCTAGGGGTCGCTGTTTGACAAAAACGGAATTCCTACTTAGTGCTGCTTTAACCTAACCTGGCCCTAGCCAGATGAATTTCGCTCCGCCTAGCTTCACTCACATCCATCTGGAACCTCTTCCATTGAGAGTGATTTCCCTAACCAACTTTATGGTTTAGCCAATCAGGACGCAGGGCGGGAGTTTCATAGATGTGACGTAGTGGAGAAGCGACCGTGAGACTGTTTTGATTCAGACAACAATGGCGGCTCGCATCGAGGAAACAAGCGTTAACATTGATGCTGCTATTTCATCCGTGTTGTCCAATCTACCTAATATTGTTTCATTAAAAGAACATCAGAGAACGGCTCTTATAAGGCTTTTGTTGGTGGAAACGATGTTATATAGATCAGTGCCTTCTCCCGACCGGATTCTTCAGCGTCACGGGTTGGCTTCGGTGTGAGTGGTTGAAATAGCACGTCGATAAAGATGACAGACAAGTGGCTTATCCAATCATATGCAAGGATTTTTGATAAGGCCCAGCCTTCTGAAACGCCATTTCAATGGATCGGTTCCAGATGGATGTGAGTGAAGCTAGGCGGAGCGAAATTCATCTGGCTAGGGCCAGGTTAGCTTTAACCACTCCATCCGACTGCTTAGCATTGTACTTGGTGATGTGAGGCTTGCATGCTGCTGCCCGGCCATGGAAACCCATTCCGTGAAGCTCCCGCCGCCACAGTTTTTGTGCTGATATTAATGCCAGAGTTAGGAACTCTACAGCGATGGAATCAGCAGAGCGTAGGCGAGTTTTACACACCATGCTCCTCAGCGCTCGGTGAACCGCTCTGTGACTTTACATGGTCTTCTGTTTCACGGCAGAGTTGCTGCTGTTCCTAAACGCTTCCACTTTCCAATAATACGACTCAGAGTAGACCTCGTAATATCTACCAGGGATGAAATTTCTGAAATAACTGACTTATTGTAAAGGTGGCATCAGTACCACGCTTGAATTGATTGAGTTCTTCAGAACGACTCATTTTTTCACAAATGTTTGTAAATGCAAGCCGTGTTTGAAATCGCCCCCTATACCTTCATTCACTATTCCCTACATTACTCCGCTAATACAGTTCACTTGAAGGAGTGAATTCAGACACTGAGTGCGCAGGAAGGGCTGCCGCTTTTGCATAGTTTTTGCTTGCGGTTTAAATAATCATTTGAAACTTAGCAAACTGGCAGCTCCAGTAGTGAACCAGTCAAGGAAACTAGCATATATAAATCTTAATTAAACAACTTAACAATCAATAAAAAAGGAATTTATAGCCTACCTGTGTGATATTACGCTGTACCCACATTGGACCAGCGGTTTGTAAAATGAATGGATGTATGGACGATTCCGCTGCGGACGCAATCTTCTGGTCAGACGGGGGAATTCATTCGGCACGACTCTCACAATGCATTATGGGTATTCTCTAATCGTTGAGCGTACATCGGTTGTACACTCGTTATTGCAGTGCATTGTGGGATTGAATGAGTGCCCTATTTAAGGGCATAGGGAGCGATTTCAGACACAGCCGCTGCATGATTTTATACACCTGTGGCAATGGGTCTGATTGAAACACCTGAATTCAAGAATTAAGTGGTGTGTCCCAATCATTTCTGTCCATATAGTGTGTGTAGTTTTTTGCACCGTCACAAAAAAAGAAAGATTTCATCCCTTGTGTCTGCTTTATTCAAAATGTCCTATGTGTACACACAGCAACATAATACAGATAATTCCCAAATCTCTATTTGTTCCACAGGATTCTGTAAAGTAGCTGACAATAACTTAAAAATGAACACTCCAAAAAACAAATCCCTATACAAAAAAAGCAAATAGAAAAAAGGCACAATGTATTTTATCTCATTACACCAAGGTACTACCCATAAATTATACAGATACAATCACCTAGAGAATGTTGTCCTATAAGGGCAAATGCACACGTGCTAAACGCATGATTACGTAAGAGGTCCAGCTTTACAGCAAACATCTACATGTGCCTCTAGCTCTGCAGAACGACACAATCCCACAGTAATCTGAACATTCAAATAGACACTTTAAATATGTATAGCTGCAGAGGCAGGTGCGGGTCCTAAATGCGCACATACAATTACAGTCAAGGAGACTCTTTTGGTTCGCTCACACTGATTTATATCATACAGACTGATCTTGATGTGAACATTCTGAACCTGGCAACAGAAGCGCTTTTAAATACACTTTATCCTACAGATTAAAAACAAATCAAAATGTTGATATATATTGTATTATTCATATAGAACAGCTTGAATTATGTTTGTATATGAATGTTTAGTAACCAGTGGTCAGAAAAAAACAAATTCCTAATCTTCTTTCATAATAACTCGAAACATAGTGATTATTCATTAAGTCACAGGCCAGCAGTGAAAGTCTCTAATACAGGGGTGTCCAAACTCGGTCCTGGAGGGCCACTGTCCTGCAGAGTTCAGCTCCAACCCCAATTAAACACACCTGAACCAATCAAGTTCTTACTTGGGTTACTAGAAACTTCCAGTCAGGTGTGTTGGGGCAAGTTAGAGCTAAACTCTGCAGGACAGAAGCAGGATTGGACACCCCTGCTCTCATAGCAAAAAAATAAATAAATATAGAAAAAAATAATAATAATTTGTCATATGGCTTAATCACCTAGTGGATCTCCTATATACAAACACAGGATAAGAACCTTTGACGTCACTGCAGTAAACTACAGAACATCTTAAGGGACATGGCGATGAAAAATATTTTGAGATGGGAAGAAAAATGATATGTTAATGCTTTTGCGTTCTTTTGCAAATGTTTTGCATTCCCCGAGAAACTTTGCGTTCGCTAGCAAAACTTTTTAGTTCTTCGCGAGGTAACACAAAGTTTCTCGAGGGACGGCAAAACTTTCGAGTTCTTTGCGAGGTAACGCAACGTTTCTTGAAGGACGGCAAACTTTTGCGAGCAAACGCAGCTTCTCTGGGAATGCAAAGCTTTTGCAAAAGCATTTTTCCCCCCTCCCATCCCATATTTTTTTCCACCTCCATGTCATATCATTCGTAGAACAGTTCAAATATATATAAAAAAAATCTCAATGACTGACAAGATTGGCTTTGGTTCATAGAAAGGCAGATGAGAATAATAATACATTATAGATTTAGCATATACATATATATATGCTAAATCTTGATATACATACATACATATGCTAGATTTTATGCTAGATTTTGATATACATACATACATCAACTGATAACCAGCTATACACTCTATCGGCCTAGTTTATTAAACACGAGCAGAACAAATTTCGGTGTAAATATTTCTTAAACCATTCTTACATAAATTGCTATGTTCAAATCATGCAAGAATGGATTTATGAACTGTTTACAGGGACATTTGTTCTGCGTGTTTAATGAAGGCACTGTGTGCCCAGCGGGGTCTAGAAGTAGAAATTTTACTGCATTTTTTTAAAATATCCCCTTGTTAGCAACAAAGGGAGGCTACTTTTGGTTGTGCAATTGTGCATTATTTAACTGGAGGGATATTTAGGCTTGATCTGACATTGAGTCATGTTCATTTGCTCGGGCACAAAAGCAATTAGAGCTGCAAGGTCCAGACTGATGATCTCGAGGGAAAAATATTCTGTAAGAAAACATTTCCTCAAAGTTGCTTTGATATCGGCCTAAATCGATGATTTTTTGTTTTTGTTTTTATCTGAAAAAGGGTATAAAATGTCTCTTTGTATAGTCCATGAACTGAGGTTTCAGTCAAGTTTTGGTCCAGGGTAGGAAGTGGTCAGATAACAACTGGTGAGAGATGAACATTTGTGTCCTTCACTGTTTCTCTCGCTCAGATAGTGCAAAGTACTCAATGTTCCTTCATTCTAAAATACACAAAGGGGGGGAAAAAAAGACAGTTTTAATCAAAGATAGGAAGTCCTTTGACTGTTATGGTCATTGATTTGCAACTGTAATAAAGTACAAGCTCAAAACAGCACTCACTCGACAGCGGCTCCTGGCCGGCTCCTATGAGAGCGAAGCTCCTTCGTCACAAGTCTCAGCAAAAGCTGAAGAACATACAAACACAATTAGGGTTGTCAAAAGTGCAGATGCTTCGGTACCAAATTGATAAGCATAATGATACCAGTCTTTCTACAGTACCGCTAGTATAGTTAGACAGTAAGTACTGGGCCAATCAGGTACAAACGCTCCTGTCTCTATTTGTGTAAGCACTTTGTGAAGAGCGTCAAAGGTTTCTATTTACCACGTGTTTTTGCAGTGTTGAGCATTGTAGCCAATTACAGACATGTTTGTTGAGCAAGTGAATGCAATGGCCAATCAGAGGCGTTTAAGTGAGTCTGAATCTTCTCAATACGCCAGAGTTTGTTCAGCGTGAGCTCTGCATGCTCACAAATCATTTTGTTAATTTAGCTGATTTTCATGTTATTACTAACTTTTCATTTGATTTTTTAAATGTAATGTTTTTTTAACTAAACAATATTTGAAGGCTACATACTAATATTTGAATGTATTATTTATTTAGGATCATTCATAGCATTGAAAACTAATTTTATTTAATACATTTAATATTCAAATAGTTAAATAATTCTTTTTTTTTTACAAAAGTTTTGCTATGGTACCAAAAGTGGTACCAAAAACAGTCAAATTTGACTGGTATTTGTACTAACCACTAAAATTTTGGTACAGTGACAATCCTACAAACAATTTTTTATTTTTTTTATTTTTTTTTGGATGTCATAACTATAGCCCCTTTCACACAGAGATTCCGGAAAATACACGGATAAAGCGACCCGGGATTTGACCCGGGTTCGTTTGATTTTGGTTCATTCACACTTGCCAGTGATTTTCCGGAATCAAAGAGTGCGTAAAAATCCCGTAAAGACACGTGACATCGATGTGACATGTAATGTCTCAGCAGCGTGTATAGTTTGCTTATGAGCTGCGATTTCTCTCTGGAGAAACCACGCTTGTGCATTTTTTTCTCTGATTCGGTCATAAACTAGCGCATTACGTACCGTTTCACTAGCCTGCTTTCACTTCACTTCATTACGACACGGCATTGGTTAGCTTTTTGTTCACACAGCGCGCGTTCCGGGACTGATCCCGGCAATGTTACTAGGTCCCCAACCCGGCATCGATCCCGGGATCAATCCCGGGTCGTGTTTGCGTTCACACAGAAGGCGTTCTGGCAATTTCCCGGGATCAACGCGCTGTGTGAAAGGGGCTTATGTGAATTCTTCGATTAATGTATCACTTGTCTTAACCTGTAAATGTTTTTATTTCATCAGAATGGTACGAAACTTGATAGTTTTTGGTTTTGGCTATTGCTATGTGAAGAAAAAAAAATAGTCACACTTGTACTCTTCGCAGTCAAAAATGGAGATGAAGGGGAAACTAATTTTATCTAGTGAAAACATTTGGGACAGAGCCCAAACAAAATCTTACGGAAAGCTAATTTTTTCAGATATCAACCTCAAATTTGGAACACAACTTTAGTGAAGAACACCAGAGGGTTAAATGTACACTGTGTTCTCGGACTGTATGTCAAGTATTGAATGAGTGAAATGAACTGCCAAGTGTACACTGCGAAAATTTACAGGAATAAATGAAGTTTATAATTCTATTCTGTTCATGCTGCCATACAACAATTTATAGTGACCACATCTGCCAATCAAATAACCGGGGCTTTTTAAGAGAAGACCTTTTTCCTTTTTAAACTGACACAACCTATATATACACACACAACAACCATCTAATGCAATCAAGGCAAGCCATAAAAATCCTGTAAAAAAAAAAATCACAAATCTTGTAAGTGAAAACCTGTGCACTAGGGGGCCTCAGCAAATCATAAAATTATTCAAATTTAGTTATAACTTAATCTTAACTAAACAGCTAAAAATAAAGATGCACAAAAGTAAACTGACATTATATTTTTTGAGTTTGTTTATTTAATGACAATAGAAGCACATATCAACTTCGATAGGAGGGCCTTTGAATATTGTCTTGGGCAAAGAGGAGCCTTGGATTAAAAAAACCCTAGTGGGTCTCGGCTCCTCTGGTTGAGAACCACTGTCTCGAAGTTTTCTGAATAAATAATAATTTTGTGTGAGAAACCGACCATTTGAATATGTAGGATGGAAAAAAAGATTTGGGATAAGTGAGAAAACTTGTGGAAAACAACTTAATTTTGGCCTGTTCCTCACATTGTGTGGCTCCTTGAAATGTACATGTGGCATACAAACTACTTTTAGCTGTTTTTCAATTCTTTTAAGAGATTTTTTCAATTATTTTGATAGATATGGACTCTATAAACAGTAGTTTCATATAGTTTCAAACAACAGCAATGAAAGATTTTTTTAAAAATCTGGCAAAATAAGTAAGCTTTTTTTTAGACTCACCAAAAGTGCAAAAAAGTCTGCGGTCATGAGCATGTAAAAGACCTTATCCCAGCCTTGTGATGACAACAGCCCTGCCAGCAAAGGACCCACAGCAGCACCTGCAGAAGACGAAAGGCACAAGAGTGACCTCTCTCTGCTCTACATGTGACAGCCTCACAATAAAACATGAATATGAACTTAGTGAACTTACCGACAGATCCAGTGCCGTCTATAATAGCTGTGACTGTAGAGAGAGCCCTGGCATTGCCCTTCAGACTCTTGTGTGTGCCCTATAGAATTAAATCAAATAATCCATCAGAGAGAAACAGGATGTGACACATGAATAAGCAAAAGATTATGCAAGTGCATTTCCTACACACACACATACACACACACTCACCAAGTCAGCAGAGACAGCTGTTGTGATGAGAGAGTACGGGCCGTTGACTAAACCACCACACACCAGCAGCATACCTGCCATATCAAATAACATACTGATAACACATCAGAGCACTAAACCATGCAATGACACACCAGAAAAAGGGTCACTCTACAGAACAAATGGCTTTTTTTCCATTTTGAAAAGATATATAAGGAAATGATGGCAAGAGGGTTGGTGCATAACCTGGAGGCATAAGGCATTCAAGTCTTCTTAATACATACTACATAATGTCATACATAAAACTATTTGTATTTTATTTACAACACTATTCAAAATTAAAAGTTTGAGGGCAGTCCATTTTTTGAAGATATTAACACTTATTCAGCAAGGATGCATTAAAATTGATCAAGTAAGAGTAAAGATATTTATTATGTTATAAAAAAATATATATCTGAAATAAATGAACTTTATATTCATCAAAGAATCCTGAAAAAAAAAAAGATTCTTTTCCACAAAACTATTAAGCAATACGGCTGTTTTCAACATGGATAATAATCAGAAATGTTTCCTGAGCAGCAAATCATCATATTAGAATGATTTCTGAAGGAACATGTGACCCTGAAGACTGGAGAAATGATGCTGAAAATTCAGCTTTGCATCACAGGAATAAATTACATTTTAAAATATATTAAAATAAAAAACAGTTACGTTAAATTGTAACTAGAAAGTAAAGCTTGTCTGGAAAAAGCCTAGTCTGAAAGTTTGAACATAAGCTTCCTAGCATGTTTTATCATGTTGCTAGCCAGTTTTATCTTGTTAGCATGTCTTAGCATGTGTTAAACATGTTTTAGTTCACTGTTAGCATTTTTGTATTACGTTGCTGGAATGATTTAGCATGATGCTATCATGATGTTGTGTTACATCTAGCATGATGCTAACATGTTTTAGCACATTTCTAGCATGATCCTAGCATGTCTTATCGTGTTTCTAGCATGTTTTAAAGCATTGCTAGCATGATCCTATCATTTTTAAACACATGGCTAGCATGTTTGAGCATACTGTGCTAGGAAAGTTGTTAAGCTTTTAGACATCTTAAATACTATATGAGAGTAATGTATGAAAGTATGAGAATTTGGGAATGTTGGTGGTTGCAGATATAAAGCTCTTAGGAGGAGATACAAATTAGTATCAGAAGAAATAGTATAATATAAATAGTAATATTATATCATAATATTACAGTTTTTATTGTATTTTTTAATCAGATTTATCAGCCTTGGTGAGCACAAGAGACTTCTTTCAAAAACATTAAAAAAACAAACATTTGAATTGTAGTGTCAGTGTGTCTATATATATATACAAACTTATCGAAATGTTCAATATTTATTACTTCATATAATATAATAACACATAGCAAAGCTGGTCTCAGCTATCATCTGTTAATCTCATTAATTCTCTAATTTGAATCAAAGCAACAGGGGTCAAACGCTCTTATGTAACTTTGAAGGATTTGATGTCTTACCAATAGTGGGACCCAAGCCAAACTGACTGATCATAGAGAAGCCGTAGAGCTATAAAACGCACACACACGCACACACACACACACACAGTCAATGGTGAGAGAAATGTGATGCAACAAAGAGCCTTTAAATTCACAAGCTCCCCTGTATTTGATCAACAGAATGACATACTGTGGGCGCTGCCAGCAGAAGCATCACAGCACAAGTGGTGGCCCTCTTTCCCATCTTATCAGAGATCACTCCAGCCAAGATCCCTCCTACACACACACAAACACATAAACACTTAGATACAGAACGTGTTTTTGCATTCCTCGGCGCTGCTTTATTTGCATGGTTAGCAGTGGGCAGAACTGTTTGCAGTCATTCAAATATTTGAGTCACGAAGAAATAAATACAAAGCGGGACGTGTCCCAAACAAGTCAAGATGAGGAAGACCTCGTTTGGTCTGTTATGTATGGAAGCTTGTTTCCGCCACTGAATAAAAAAATAAAATAAAATAATTGCGACTTTTTATCTCACAATTGCGAGATATGAAGTCAGAATTGTGAGAAATAAAGTCGCAATTGTGAGATATAAAGTCGCAATTCTGAGAAATAAAGTCGCAATTGCGAGATATAAAGTCGCAATTGTGAGAAATAAAGTCGCAATTGTGAGATATAAAGTCGCAATTCTGAGAAATAAAGTCGCAATTGCGAGAAAAAAAGACAGAATTGCGACTTTATATCTCGCAATTCTGACTTTATATCTCGCAATTCTGACTTTATATCTCGCAATTCTGACTTTATATCTCGCAATTCTGACTTTATATCTCGCAATTCTGACTTTATATCTCGCAATTCTGACTTTCCATTTCGCAATTCTGACTTTATATCTCGCAATTCTGACTTTATATCTCGCAATTCTGACTTTATATCTCGCAATTCTGACTTTATATCTCGCAATTCTGACTTTATATCTCGCAATTCTGACTTTATATCTCGCAATTCTGACTTTATATCTCGCAATTCTGACTTTACATTTCACAATTCTGAGAAATAAAGTCAGAATTGCGAGATGTAAACTCGCAATTGTGAGAAAAAAAAAAAGAGTCAGAATTGTGAGATAAAAAGTCCCAATTACCTTTTTTATTTTTCATTCAGTGGCGGAAACAAGCTTCCATAGTTATGGGTGTTGTTAGACATATAACACTTTTTTTTTTTATAATAAGAAAGCAACAGATAAATGCTTACAGATGTGTGTGTATCAGCTACTAATGCCCACTCCAAATACCAAAACAAAAAAACAAAAAAGACAAAAACTCTACATACCAACAATGCCACCCACATCAAACAGAGTTGAAAGGTCTCCGGCTTTCTTGGCATCTAGGTGAGCTGAAAAACAGGAAGTACATTGTAGTCATTGATCCATATAGAGTGCTGCAGGGATGATGTATTTTAGTAGGCCAAAACGTGGAAACAAGTTAACATTTTAGCACTTACAAATCCATCATCCTGAAGTCAATGGGTTATTTGAATGGGTTTTTGGTCAAATGTCTTTTTCGGTTATTAACAAGTGGCTAAATGGGACCACAGAGGTTTTCGGGAACATTAAACATCATCACACCGAACATCACATCTATTGACTAGTTGTTGACTAAAAAAATACATCATTACTGCAGCAGTATATTAACCACCATCCCAAAATGTGCAAATATATACACAAAACACATCAAAACACAGAAACCTTTACATCAAGAGAACCACAGAAATAAATATAACAGAGCAGAATAATTAAATGACTGAGAATCGCTGATGTCATCAGTGAGAGATACCTGCTTTAGTGATGTAGAGGGGCAGCCAGAAGAGGAACGTATAACTGACCAACTTGGCAAACAGCAGACAAAGAGAGAACTCCACCACTCCCTGCAAACACACAGCGGGAGAAACGTCAGTGACGCTGTAACACACGCTGACTGATGATGGACAGACGGATGGGCAACACTCACAGGAATGCGTAAAGCTCCCATGAAGCTGATGGGTGACGGTTCTGCCTCACTCTTCACCACCACCACCTGCTGCACGGGAACACACACGCCAATGCTCTCCTGCCCCAGCAGAAGCTCTGTGTCCCAGCTCTAACAAACAGGAGGATCACAGAAGTGAAAAAGAGATACTTCTAAAGGAGTGACACAGATACACAGAGACAATGACGTGGACTAACCTGTGCTTTAGCTCCTGGCTTGCACTGCAAGTAAAGGTCTTTGTGTCCATTAACACCATTCCAGCTTTTATGAAGCTTCTGAGAAAAAATAATATGGAGTTCAGTGTCACATTTACAAAGGGTTGTCTAGGTGTATTCTGAATATATTCTACATATTAATTATTTTGTATTAATATAATAACACAAGACACATGGGTAGTGACATGTAATTTTGCCGTCCACAAAAAAACTAAACAAATCTCTCATTCATTCTCTCAAGCGATTACATTTTTATATATATATATATATATACACTCACCGGCCACTTTATTAGGTACCCCATGCTAGTAACGGGTTGGACCCCCTTTTGCCTTCAGAACTGCCTCAATTCTTCGTGGCATAGATTCAACAAGGTGCTGGAAGCATTCCTCAGGGAGTTTGGTCCATATTGACATGATGGCATCACACAGTTGCCGCAGATTTGTCGGCTGCACATCCATGATGCGAATCTCCCGTTCCACCACATCCCAAAGATGCTCTATTGGGTTGAGATCTGGTGACTGTGGAGGCCATTTTAGTACAGTGAACTCATTGTCATGTTCAAGAAACCAATTTGAAATGATTAGAGCTTTGTGACATGGTGGAAGTAGCCATCAGAGGATGGGTACATGGTGGCCATAAAGGGATGGACATGGTCAGAAACAATGCTCAGGTAGGCCGTGGCATTTAAACGATGCCCAATTGGCACTAAGGGGCCTAAAGTGTGCCAGGAAAACATCCCCCACACCATTACACCACCACCACCAGCCTGCACAGTGGTAACAAGGCATGATGGTTCCATGTTCTCATTCTGTTTACGCCAAATTCTGACTCTACCATCTGAATGTCTCAACAGAAATCGAGACTCATCAGACCAGGCAACATTTTTCCAGTCTTCAACTGTTCAATTTTGGTGAGCTCTTGCAAATTGTAGCCTCTTTTTCCTATTTGTAGTGGAGATGAGTGGTACCCGGTGGAGTCTTCTGCTGTTGTAGCCCATCCGCCTCAAGGTTGTGCGTGTTGTGGCTTCACAAATGCTTTGCTGCATACCTCGGTTGTAACGAGTGGTTATTTCAGTCACTGTTGCCCTTCTATCAGCTCGAACCAGTCTGGCCATTCTCCTCTGACCTCTGGCATCAACAAGGCATTTCCGCCCACAGAACTGCCGCTCACTGGATATTTTTTCTTTTTCGGACCATTCTCTGTAAACCCTAGAGATGGTTGTGCTTGAAAATCCCAGTAGATTAGCAGTTTCTGAAATACTCAGAACAGCCCTTCTGGCACCAACAATCATGCCACGTTCAAAGTCACTCAAATCACCTTTCTTCCCCATACTGATGCTCGGTTTGAACTGCAGGAGATTGTCTTGACCATGTCTACATGCCTAAATGCACTGAGTTGCCGCCATGTGATTGGCTGCTTAGAAATTAAGTGTTAACGAGCAGTTGGACAGGTGTACCTAATAAAGTGGCCGGTGAGTGTATATATATATATATATAAATACTGAGACATTTCTCAGAATATCTTCTATTTTCCACAGAAGAAAGAAAGTCATACAGGTTTGAAACGACTTGAGGTTGAGTAAATGATGACAATTTCTTTTTTAATTTGGGGGTTTATTAATATGGAAAAATTTAATATTGTTTTTTAATGAAATTATACTCCAAATAAGAAACTAAAACTGCCAGTAGGTGGAGGTAAAGTCTTAATGAGCAAGTTATTCATTCATTTGATTCCTTCGAACGGCTGATTCATTCATGGAATGATGTAAATGGCTCTCTTTATCAATGGACGTGGATTCATTTGGAAGCAAACCAACGCTGTGTGTTGTTTGGAGATGCACAACAGTTCGTTGGCGAAATGAAGCAAAAATAGACAATATTGTGTCTAAAAATATAACACAATATTAACTTCACTCTTGCTATTCGGGACAAAAACAGCACTCGAATCTTGTGATACTCGTTACTTGTGTGATTTTTGCTTAACTATAAGTTAGAATTCTGTTAGACTATAGAAGAATATATATAAAAGTGAATGTATATGAAAATAATTAAAATATAAATATAAAGATACAACTTTGAATATGTAAAGGTAAATCATGAATATATATAGATGTAAATCTGAAAATATGCAGTTATAGGTCTGAAAATATACATGTCATTCCGAATATATAGTAATAAGTCTAAAGATATTCATACATTTTATTAGGCATTTTGATAGACAAGCTCCTAATATATAGAAGAAAATGAATATTTCTACTTTTAAATATATTTGTCACACGCTGAAGACAATTTAAATCCCAAAGTTGATTAAAAGTGGTGAAGAACTTAGAAGAAATGATTACAGATGACGTTACAGAATGAAAAAAACACATTTACTTTCCTTACACAAATATAAAAAAGGCTAAATAAATATTTGCATATATTTCCAATCGGTGCATCTGCTGTTAGTATTATTTATTGACCCAATTCCCTCTGGCAGTGTTTTCTATTGTTTTTGTACACTCTAGAGGGCAAGACAAAATACTCTAGTGCAGCGGTTCCCAAACTTTTTTTCCTGCGCACCCCCTTCTATGTCCCAACCCGGTTGGCGCACCCCCAATCCCCACTTCAAAAAAAAAATGCAACAAAGCTTTGTTTTATCGCTTTTGTTTTATAAAGACGCATGTTTAAACATGCGCTAATAACCAGAACACTCATGACAATAACAACATCAACAAAGTTTCAATATAATGCAACAAAGCTACGCACAAGTTTTCACTTTTAACCCTTTCACACGTAAGTTTAAAATATTTTAACTGACCCCACAGCGTGAGTTTTTCAAGGCGACCGTTATTTAGAACTTGTCACTTTAATGTTTCCATGGTGACGCGTCATTCCTTGTCACGTGACACAGCGCAACCACAACACAGCGCTGAATGAATGATGTTCTGCTTTTATGTCATTTTTCCTTTTTATCAAAAATATTCACAAATGTATTAGCTATAGCATTAAACACTGAGATTCCGATTGTCAAATATGTGCAAGTGGATGTGTTTTATTGTTCAAACGCCTTCATAACGATCGTTAGTTTGTGCCACAGTTCAGAGAATCGGATCTGTTGGATTTACAACACGTGACGTCAATTCCTCCACTTCTCACGAAATACATGAAAGTAAGAGGCCGGTGAACTGGGAGAAGAATAGGGTAAAATGTGAAGCTACGTACACAATGTGTATCTGATATGAATACAACGTGTCGTCTTATTATAATGAAAAGGATTAATATTGCCGCTTCCATAGAAATCAGCTAAATCAAAATCATTGTTTTGCTAGTACTTATGTGTATTTAAATGTCTGAAACCTAAAATAAACATTACGTGGTTGAAAACACTCAATGGTTGTGATATATAACAGCACTGGCTCAGCGCCAGCCAACACGCGAAAGCACATTTGTCACGTTACCGGCTGCAGTGCAGAGCAGTGCGTAGAAGACAGCAGCTGTTTTCAACGTTTCTATCAAAAACTAATAAATTATAGTTTTTTTAATTTAAAATAAAAGCGATTACAAAGGAAATGTTTACTGTTCATGGTTTTTATTTTATTGTATGGCAAAAAATCCCACTTACAAAACAGACCGCCATTACATTTTTCCTCTCGCGCACCCCCTGGTGGCAGCTCGCGTACCCCTGGGGGTGCGCGTACCACACTTTGGGAATCCCTGCTCTAGTGTAATACCTCCTAAATTGTAATTAATTAATCGCTATGAATATTTAAGAATCCTTTAGAAACAAACCAAGAGTAATTAGGGTAAACAATGAATGACACAGAATCCAGAATTATGCGGCTGCGAGCTGCGAAGTGTTTGAAGTTGCTCTTGAATTTGATTAATTCCTCCTCCACAGTCAAAATGAGCCTCCATCCCTAATGTCTCTGTTACTCCTGATTAGCCACTCCTCTTGAATCTAAATCAAACTGTTGAAGCGTTTCAGAAATGTGAACTCTCCGTGCTCGATGAGCACCTCACGCTCTACTGAGAGTCGCAGGTGTGCGCATCACAGGGCCGTTGTTATAGCAACTGCTTTCGAGCATGAATGAGTCATGTAATCTAACCAACCTTGCCTCAGACTGCTGGGAAAATACATTAACTTCTGTGAAGATGACATTGTTCTCATTGTTGATGACAAGGCATTGTCTGTTTGACTCTCTGCTAGGCTTCTTTTGTTCAGGTCAGTAGCAAAAATCTGATTTTTGAGAGTATCTGACTCAGCTGAACCGCAACAAAAATATGGAATGTGATATTTACAAGCCCAATACAAACCACATCCACTGAATTTCTGGAATGAGTCTCACCAGGGGCCTAATGTATAAAACGCTCCCTCCAGTAAAGAGTGCGTACGCACGGTCTAGAGTGTCTGTACTTTATTTTATTTTTAATTCCCAATATGTGCATGGAAAATTGCGTACGCACACATTTCTATGCCTCCGCAATTTTCCACACACATATCAGGAATTGTAAAAAAATGAACTAGGCGTAAATATGTGAGCCATGTATGATTTAAAAATTCTGTTTTCATTTTGATATACACATTCAGATGAAATATGCCACTCTCATTAATGGATCTAAACGCAGGTGCTGTTGGTGTCGTGTGCAGGCAGACAGTTTCCTAATGATAACACCTTTCTTGCTCTTTCCAATATTAAGAAAAATACCATTGTATTTGAAGGAATTTGAAGGAAACAGCATTATTTACACTGCATAAATAAGGCAGATCTGTTTCCATTAAAAATATATAAACATCCTAAAATACATGTTTACCTTATAGGCAAAATTGCCTAATTTTGATATGTTTAAAACAATTAAAAATACTATTTTGCCAGTGGAAAAGAAAGAGTATAACTCTTCTCTGAAAATTTTCTCTGAACATTACTTGATACAATTTTTATTTATTTATTCTAAAACAAGACAAGGATAGTGAATGTTTTTTAAAGATGCATTGTGTAATATTTAGGAGGATCTGCTGACAGAAATGCAATATCATATACATAACTATGTTTTCAGTGGTGTATTAAGACCTTACTTAATGAACCGTAACGTTTGTATTACCTTAGAATGATCCATTTCTATCTATATACACCGCGGGTCCCCTTACATTGAAATGTGCCGCCATGTTTCTACAGTAGCCCTAAACGGACAAACACGTTTCGTTACTGTGTTGTTCTTTGTTCAAGCAAGCTAGCTAAAGTCACGGAATAAAAGACTTACACAATGATGAACAAGTAACAATAATATTCGCAATAACATATCGTTTTACTGAATAATAAAGTAAACCTAATTTCTTAATTTATCTTTGTAAAGAAACCTCATTGCTGAACTGGCTACTCTCTGCGGTCTCAGACGGCGACATCTTTTCCTGTCGGCCACCGTAACTTCTGTTGGTTGCAATTCGCAACCTCACCACTACATTCCGGTAAAAATCACACACTGCACCTATAAATCATTTTTTTATAAAGAGAATTTTACACAGGTTCTGGTGTACGCATGGTTTATAAATCTGAAAACTTTTGTGCATACGCAAATTCTGGCATTAGTGCATTCGCACAATTTTAGGATGAAATCTAAGTAAAGTTTTATATATGAGGTACAGTATAATATGAGGTATAATATAAATTACAGTGTGGACTTGTCATTCCCGAGAGACCGGATTTGAAACCCACATTGGATTTGTGTAAACAAAGCCTTGAAGTAAACAACCGTTTAAAAGTTTGGGGTAAAATTGAATGGACAATTTAATGCATCCCTGTTGAATGAAGGTAATAATAATAATTTAATCGCACTGACCACAAACTTCACAGCAATGTGACAGGAAATGAAACTAAATAAATGGACTAACCTGATTGCTTGGAGCTGAGCTCTGGGCACTGGCGGTCTTCAGATCATTAGGGTCTGGAGATACAGAAGCGTTCGCATCAAAAACCCATCAACCATCTCCAATAGTGCTTTGTGACAAATTTGCACCCAAACACACATAAATAAGCCAGAGGTCATATTCACTTACGCTCTATTAGAAAGAAGAAGCAGACGACCCCCATGACAGCGATGATAACTCCAGGGACGATGAAGGACATTCCCCAGTTAGAGGAGACATAATATCCAGCAATCAAAGAACCCAGAATGTTGCCCACCGATGTGTGCGAGTTCCAGATACCCATGATGAGGCCTCTCCTGATACCACAACAAAACAAAACACATTATATAACATTTCATTTTGTGGTAATAAGAGATCTGTTACAATTTTGGAGTGTCTAAAGAGCAGCAAAGAGGATAAGCATTCCCTCATCTTCAGCGTCTGAGATAAACGAAAACACTGCATGCTCATTTTTAGACAGATTTATCGAATTTATAATGTTAGTGGAAAATGTAAAGCCTCATACCTGCCCTTGCCAAACCAGTTGCCAATGCAAGTCACGACACTTGGCCAACCAGTGGTCTGAACCAATCCATTGGCCACCTACAGACGAAAAAAATAAAAATAAAGAGGAGAGAATGCTGAATGAAAACTGAACAAAATGGTACATAAATAATAATTGCTGTTTACATACACTACCATTCAAAGTCTGAGGTCAGGTTTTTTTTTTCAAAGAAATGAACACCTTTATTCAGCAAGGTAATTAATTTATAGATAATTTGATCAAAAGTGACAGTAAAAACATGGCTATTATTTCAAACCAATGCTATTTGTTTAAACTTTCTATTCATTAAGGAATCCTGTAAAAAAAAAAAAATCACGCGCAATCATGGTTGTACGAATATAATAAGTATTTGTTTTCAACATAGATAATAATCAGAAATGTTTCTTAAAGGGATAGTTCACTTTGAAATTAATTTTTGATATGTTTTAGCTTACCTCCAGTGCATCCAAGATGTAGGTGTCTTTGTTTCCACAGTATCTTCAATTTTGATAATTTTAGGTAAAACCGTTGTTGTCTGTCAGTCATACAATAGAGGTGAAGGGGGTCCTCCTCAAAGAGCAGTCAAAATTAAACATTATTTAATGACTCGTAAATGTAAGTACACATTGATGCCCTAAGACACGAAACGAGTGGTTTTTGTGAGAAAACGAACAGTATTTATATTGTTTTTACCTCTTGTAACCACAGCCATGCCCAAGTTATCTGAGGGCGCGGACGCTTCCGTGTGTGACGTGTACGCAGACTGGTGCATAGATAAACTAGATGTCGCCTTGGCGACGGCAGTTCATTGGAACGAAACCTTAGCCAAGGCGACATCTAGGGTATATATATCTATGCACCAGTCTGCGTACACGTCACACACGGAAGCGTCCGCGCCCTCAGATAACTTGGGCATGGCTGTGGTTACAAGAGGTAAAAACAATATAAATACTGTTCGTTTTCTCACAAAAACCACTCGTTTCGTGTCTTAGGGCATCAATGTGTACTTACATTTACGAGTCATTAAATAATGTTTAATTTTGACTGTTCTTTGAGGAGGACCCCCTTCACCTCCATTGTATGACTGACAGACAACAACGGTTTTACCTAAAATTATCAAAATTGAAGATACTGTGGAAACAAAGACACCTAGATCTTGGATGCACTGGAGGTAAGCTAAAACATATCAAAAATTAATTTCAAAGTGAACTATCCCTTTAAGCAGCAAATCAGAATATTAGAATGATTTCTGAAGGATCATGTGACACTGAAGACTGGAGTAACGATGCAGAAATTTCAGCTTTGCATCACAGGAATACATTATATTTTATAATATATTAAAATATAAAATTGTTATTTTAGCTGTTTTTACTGTATTTTTGATCAAATACATGCAGTCTTGGTGAGCATAAGAGACTTCATGTATGACACCAACCTGAACAAATATATAGAAGCCAAGGCTGTGGATGTCATAGACGTATCCCAGTCCAAACAGACAGGTGAAAAGACCACTGGTCAACATGCCCACAGTCAGGTACAGACGGATGGGCAGACGCTCTCCAATGATTCCACTGAAAAGATTGTATTAAATGTCACTGCAGACAGAATGATAGCAGCAAACAACAAACATATCACTGTTGTCAGATGAGTTCAACTGCTCAAGATAAGACCAAAGACCAATGACATCAGAATAATTCAGAGTTAGGTCGGATGTTTTAGCATCTTCAGATTTAAACTTGAGAAGCAAAAACAGTGTTCAAGTTGGTCAATTCATTCTGGTGAGTCAGTTCAAACTGCTTCAGTAAATCCATCCAAAACTTTGATTTAGTAATGCATTTTTATGTATTAAAATATACATTGATTATTATTGCTGTTTATTACTATTTCATTATATTACATCAAATATAATTCTTCCTTAAAAGTGCAGTAAGCGATTTAAGAAACGCTGTTGAAAGTGGATCGGACCGAGCGCCGCCACACACTTGTAACCAATCAGCAGTAGGGGGCGTGTCCACTCATGATGGGGGAGGAGAGAGAGAGTGAGCAAGAGGGGGATTATTTGAAGAAAGACTGTAGAAAGAGAGATGGCTGAGAGACATTACAAGAGAGAAAACCATACGTGACGAAAACCATACGAAGCTCCATACGTGAGTAACATCGGTTTTGGACAGTTTTGAGTGTCATTAGAGTACACTCTTGTGAACTGTATGTTTATTTTTTGTTCTTTCTTGTCGTTCATTCGCCATCTTTGCTTTATTCTCCGCAAAACATTATTTTGCTTCGTTTCAGCTATGATGAAAATACATTCACTCTTGAATTGCATGTTCGTGCATTTTGGGGGCGGAGCAATGAAGGGAGGAGTGTGTTTGTTTGGGTTGATTTTAAATATCAACCGTGTTTCTCAGAAATCACGTACTGCACCATTAAGTTCACTGACAATTAAAATAGAATTATTCCTTAAGTTTTGAATATTGTGTAAAGAGATAGTTCATCCAAAAATGAAAATTCTGTCATTGCTTAATCACTCTCATGCCGTTTCAAACCGCATACGACTTTTGTTCATCTTGGAATGGAAACACAAATATCTTTGTAATGAAACCTGAGAGATATCGGTTCCTCCATTGAAGGTCCATTCCACCAAAACTTTAATGCTTCAAAAAGTTCATAAAGAAATCGCACGTTAAGCATGCATGAGCTTCCGTTTACCATATTTGAAGTGCTCCATGTATGTGCGCTGATCAATGTATATATGCCTAAATTAAATCAGACTTGAATTAAACCTCTCAATTCATATGGATTACTTAAACAATGTCTAAATTAACTTTTTAAAGTTTGGTAGGAATGGACTTTCAATGGAGATTTCAGGTTTCATTAAAAACACCTTTATTTGTATCCGAAGATAAAAAAAAGTCTTATGGGTCTGGGGGTGGGGGGTGGAAACACACACACTTTTAAGTCATTTTAAAGCATAAATATTAGTGTGTTTTGTATATGTTCTTACCTGAGATACATGCCTATGGCATAAGCACACAGGAAAGAATAATCCATTGCTCCGAGCAACTGCTTATAGTTGTTTCTGTCTATAGGGATTGAAACAGAGATGCCAAACATTTAATGCACTGACTGAAAGTGATAGAAACAGATATTGCTTGAATCTAATCGAATATAACGTTACCGAATGGTTTCCAGCTGCAGTCTAGTTCTGTGTGAAGTCTAGGCTGCCGGCCGCTCTCTGTAGGAACCTCCATGATGTGAGAGCAGTTCTTATGCAGCTCACTCTATACAGACACATACACAACATAACATAACATGAACTCATCTCTGACAGTGCATACAGTTGACACAGGACATGACTGCATATTAAGGCTGACTACAGAAAGTTCAACATGGTTAGATGGCTGAGTGCCACACACTTCTGGATTGTACTCAGATAAATGAGTTAATGTGTGACAGAAAACAACCCAAAAAAGCCCTTTGAGTTCCAGTAAGCACAAGAACTGCCGATAATAGCTTTTGATCATGCCACCTCTGAGCAATATAATGTTGTCTGTACGGTTTATGCAGAGATAAAAAAACAACAACAACAACTGAATTCTGGATCTTATTTCAGTTCTGTTCTATCTATACACTACAATTTATTTAAAATATAAATTATATATATATAAAATGTTAATAAAAGATTAAAATAATGCAAGTTTGATTTGTTTTTATATGTATAGCGCTTTTTATTATACACCGTTTCAAAGCACCTTACAGAAAATCATGATTTTATTGTTTATATCTTCATACCAGTGTAATTTTAGTGTTTTTTGTGTTTTATTCATATTTTGAATTAGCTTTTATATTAATAAATGTAATTTCCATGTTAATTTTTGTAATTTTTATGTGCTTTTGTCTTATTATTATTTTTTTTAAATGACTATTTATGTAATTTGTTTTTCTAAAAAAAAAAAAATGGTGTTTTAATTTTAGTCATTTATTTATTTCCAGTTAATAGTTTCCACTTAAACTTAATTCAGTTTTTTGCCAAGGCAACATTTCTAATTTTCATTAAATTGAAATAATATTTATATTTTTCTAGTTCAGATTTATTTCAATTAACAGAAATATTTTAATAGTTTTAGTTCACGAACCCTGCTTCATGCCTTGTCGTCACATTTTGCAGGTTAGATTGGGTGATAATAATTTGCATTTCGCAACAATAGTCAAGTCAAGTCAAGTCATCTTCATTTATATAGCTCTTTTAACAATGAATTGTTTCAAAGCAGCTTTACAGAGATAAACATATAATTTAAGGTAACAGATTGTTTTGGCGTTATAGCGGTTCTTGAATAATGTTACTTCCAGCTAAAGTTAACTTTGATTGATTCACCTCCGTCGAAATGATCAGACTTTAAACGCGAACCTGTGATTAACGCTGACGGCGTTCACATGCTCATTCAGAATTCTATAGTTATGTACTTTTTAAAATATATATACAAGCAATCAAACAGTTAAGATCCGCTATAAAGTGTATGTATACAGGTCCTTATAAAAAAAAATAGCATATTGTAATAAAGTACATTATTTTCCATAATGTAATGATAAAAATTAAAGTTTCATATATTTTAGATTCATTGCACACCAACTGAAATATTTCAGGTCTTTTATTGTTTTAATACTGATGATTTTGGCATACAGCTCATGAAAACCCAAAATTCCTGTCTCAAAAAATTAGTATATCATGAAAAGGGTCTCTAAACGAGCTATTAACCTAATCATCTGAATCAACTAATTAACTCTAAACACCTGCAAAAGATTCCTGAGGCTTTTAAAAACTCCCAGCCTGTTTCATTACTCAAAACCGCAATCATGGGTAAGACTGCCGACCTGACTGCTGTCCAGAAGGCCATCATTGACACCCTCAAGCAAGAGGGTAAGACAGAAAGAAATTTCTGAACAAATAGGCTGTTCCCAGAGTGCTGTATCAAGGCACCTCAGTGGGAAGTCTGTGGGAAGGAAAAAGTGTGGCAAAAAACGCTGCACAACGAGAAGAGGTGACCGGACCCTGAGGAAGATTGTGGAGAAGGACCGATTCCAGACCTTGGGGGACCTGCGGAAGCAGTGGACTGAGTCTGGAGTAGAAACATCCAGAGCCACCGTGCACAGGCGTGTGCAGGAAATTGGCTTCAGGTGCGGCATTCCCCAGGTCAAGCCACTTTTGAACCAGAAACAGCGGCAGAAGCGCCTGACCTGGGCTACAGAGAAGCAGCACTGGACTGTTGCTCAGTTTTGCATGTCATTCGGAAATCAAGGTGCCAGAGTCTGGAGGAAGACTGGGGAGAAGGAAATGCTAAAATGCCTGAAGTCCAGTGTCAAGTACCCACAGTCAGTGATGGTCTGGGGTGCCATGTCAGCTGCTGGTGTTGGTCCACTGTGTTTTATCAAGGGCAGGGTCAATGCAGCTAGCTATCAGGAGATTTTGGAGCGCTTCATTCTTCCATCTGCTGAAAAGCTTTATGGAGATGAAGATTTCATTTTTCAGCACGACCTGGCACCTGCTCACAGTGCCAAAACCACTGGTAAATGGTTTACTGACCATGGTATTACTGTGCTCAATTGGCCTGCCAACTCTCCTGACCTGAACCCCATAGAGAATCTGTGGGATATTGTGAAGAGAAAGTTGAGAGACCCAACACTCTGGATGAGCTTAAGGCCGCTATCGAAGCATCCTGGGCCTCCATAACACCTCAGCAGTGCCACAGGCTGATTGCCTCCATGCCACGCTGCATTGAAGCAGTCATCTCTGCAAAAGGATTCCCGACCAAGTATTGACTATTGAGTGCATTACTGAACATAATTATTTGAAGGTTGACTTTTTTTTTTTTGTATTAAAAACACTTCTTTTATTGGTCGGATGAAATATGCAAATTTTTTGAGACAGGAATTTTGGGTTTTCATGAGCTGTATGCCAAAATCCTCAGTATTAAAACAATAAAAGACCTGAAATATTTCAGTTGGTGTGCAATGATTCTAAAATATATGAAAGTTTAATTTTTATCATTACATTATGGAAAATAATGACATTTATCACAATATGCTAATTTTTTTTAGAAGGACCTGTATATATACAGTATCTATATATTAGATGTGTCAGTGATTGTGCATGTTTCCTCCAGCACGTGTTCTTTTAAAGGGTTTGTTCAATGTGACGGGGGTCGTGCTACCTTGACAATGCTGATGGGCTTCCTGGATAGATGGAAACTTGTGTAGAGCAGGAAAGTGAGAGCAAACGCGAAGGCCTTGTACCTGTGTGTAGAAAACACAGCAACGGTCAATAAGGACAAGGAAATAAGGACATTTTACAGTGAAATTTCATTTCATGAGATTTGAGATAGACTGCATCCCAAAACAAACACAAATACAAATACTGACATTGTATTAATTTGTGTGAGTGGCACACTGTTCATTTACGCAAACAACTGTTAAACTAGCAAACAAATCAGAAGTTGAAGGGAGACCGTCTTACTATTGCTTAATGTCAAACTAAGAAGGGCAAAGCAACCAAGTCTTTTATCAACTCCATTACTATTTTACAGTCTTTCTTAGATCAGGTTTAGACACTTACAGCAGCTTTTTTAAAATATATTTGTTTAATTGTTCTGTTCATAACGCCAAGGTTCATCATGGATTCAGAAGACTTGATATTTAGTTGCAACGTTTTTTTTTTTTATAGTCAGTAGAACGTCTAAAGTGGACCATCGAAATAGAGTGCTACCGATTCTTCAGATAAAATTCTCTTTTTGTCACTATTCAAATAGAATTATATGAAATAACAAATAACCGCATTATAAATAACAGCACAGAAGTAAAATCAATAGTGTGATGGCATCATGAAGTCTCACATTAGGATATGAAAGTGATATCAGTACAACACAATTTGATGATAATTAGAACTTTAAATACACAATGTAAAAAAATATCCTGCTAAATTATGAAAAGAAATGGCAGCTGTGATTGCCAGAATTCACTCTAAAAACATACTGACAATGTTTATGTTTTTAGGGGATATCTTTATATTTACAAAATAAATAATAATAATACTAATATATATATATATATATATATATATATATATGTGTGTGTGTGTATGTATGATGTTATGTTAAAGGGATAGTTCACCTAAAAATTTAAATATTGTCATGATTTGCTCACCCTCATGTTGTTCCAAATCTGTTTGAGTTTCTTTCTTCTGCTGAACACAATAGAAGATATTTTGAAGAATGTTGGTAATTCAACTGTTTGACTACCAACATTTTTCTCATACAGGTTTGGAACAACTTTAGGGAACTATCCCTTTAATACACCAATCTACCTAAATCAGCTATTTATGTATTTTTACCTTAAAATGTACTAATAACCACCAAGTGAAAAATGAGAAAAAATAGCACTATTTATATAAAATATAATCTTATGTGACGCAGGGAGTTTTGGAAATGTCCTTTTACTTTTTTTTTTTTTTTTTACAATACAGTACACAGGAATGTAAACACACCTAGTCTAGCCTGTGTGTCCCTTTTAAAGAAGTCACTAAACCCGATTTTTCACAATCAATCCTGAAATGGAGTAGATGACGAGGATACAATGGAAAACAGATCAGACGTGATCAAATACAGAGAGGCGTGTATATATGTACATACCATAGAGCTACCATGATCAACAGAAAGACTGACGTCTTAGTTTGATACAGAATGCAGTATTGAAGCTTGTATTTAATTAAATACATCAGACATTAGAGTTCTATTCTACTCTATTGTATTCTCCAACACATATCAGCTAATGTCTGCTTAGCAGGCCCACAGAAAATTGCAGATTCTTCTAACATTTTTGTGGAAAAATTGGTGGAATTGTGCAGAATGGATAAAACATGTTGAACTTAAATACTTTTACTGACAGATGAAATCAGTCAAATTTGGCAAAATATTAAGTCAATATGAAGTCAAATTTGACTATTCTTATTTATTAGAAATGATTTATCCGCGCACATAATTTTTTAAAAATGCATGTGCCCTTGTAATCTTTAATTAAAATAACAGTGACATGTCCTCTCTTCTCTAATGTTGTGAGGGCGAGACAACCTGTCACTCACATGAGATCGACCAATTGCAAACCACAACCATCCAAACAATTTCCGATAAACAAAATCAATGTTTTTCTTGTTCGAGAAGCCGTTTTACTTGTACATATGTCACAAAGACTATCGCAACTTAGGTTTCATGTGTAATAAACAAACATGCAAAGACTGGAACTGTAGTATTATAATGACAGACATTATATCTCTGTGGGAAAACTGGGTTTGCTGATCATCAATCCCAAATACACATGCAAATATTGATAAAAAAGATAAACTCACCACTGGTCTCTATTGAAGGAGGCCAGGAAGCGGATGCCAGGTGGGACTGGTGCCATGCTTGTGTATGGTGTGTGTATGAGTGTAATACAGCTGCTTAGTAAATCTCATAAAGATGTTAGGCAGGATGCCTGTAGACATATGGTCACAAGATCCATCTCTGAGCAAAAGGACCTTGGTATGTGAACAGAAAGACAAAAGAACCCATTATGAAGATTAAAGAGTCGCGTTCGTAGTCTTATATCCTAAAAAAAAAAAAATGTAGAAAGAATGAAAGAGAAGCCGTTTTCCTGAAAGAGAAGTGAACAAACTATCGTTAAACAATAACATGTTCATTCTACTGCTCATTTACAGCACATCAGTCCTCTCATCTTTAGGAAATGACAGTGTTTGAGCTGTCAGTGTCAAAGCTCGTAAATGACGTGACTCGTAACGTGGTTGCTACTGTACAACGAGAACCGGAGACCGACAACAAAACCCTCTGATACTGGACTAAACTAAAACTAAACCAGGTCATAAACACTCAATAACATTCAAATAAGAGTATGAATAGATGTAGCTACTAATTTACATAAGATATAATTTAGTGTGATCTCTCGCATCCTCTATAGCTCGTTAGAAGAACACGTTTATTAATAGGATGTGATCGATAACATGTCGAGAGACCATTTGTCAAAGATATAAAAGCACATATAATTGATTTAATTTAAAACAGCCCTGGAGGTCTTACCGCATCAACCGACTCTCTCCGTTCAGCGTTGTCTTTGGCGACCGTCTCTTTCACTTCCTCATTCAGTCCGGTGGGGCGATGATGATGATGATGACGATGACGACAACAAGAGTAGCGTGAAACACGAAACAACACGAGACTTGCAAACTAAAATATTTCAAAATAAAAAACTCTATCCATGCAGTACAAGTCAAACATTTAAATTCAATTAGTTACTTTTTAAAATCAAACACATTCGGTTTTTTCTTTTCTTTGAATGAGCCATTACAAATTATAATAAGCCAATGCTTCTAAATATAAATAAAATAAAATAAAAGAGGAAAATGTATTCCAGAGTATAATCGATTATTGTGTATATAATAATAATTTATTATTATTATTATTAGTTAGACTCGTTGATGTGACTTGTGTTTGTTGAGTGCTGACTTCACTGTAAGGGGGGTGATGCTTCCTCTGCTGTCCTGTTATCTCCTTCTCGCAGTTATTCAAGAGTCATGCAGCTGTAGGTGAATATATTTGCTCTGTGTAAAAGCATTAAAGTGCGCAGTGACATTGCATAACAATGTTCAATCGTTTACTCACTACAGCGAGTCGAAATTAGCCTACTCAGCAAACCCGGTTACCTGTCGTCATCGGTGTACAAAGTCAAAGTCTTGACGGTGGTAGAAAAGGTAACGTTACGTCCAGAAAAAAACGTTTACCCAGTGTGGATACTTAGGTTTGTATTTTTAGCTTCAGCAATATTATTGTCGGCCTCGTCATTAGTTCTGGGACTGTGCAGAATTCGCTTACTCTGTTATTATTGCGTACATGCTTAGTATTTCTAGTCTTTCCTAAACGTTTACGTTACCACAGTTTCATTCAAAATGCACAGCCACTGTTATTGTTGCTATTGATAGTTGCTATTAGCCACCACTGTCGTCAAGTTAAAAGAGTTTAAAAGTAACGTTACGTGGAATGAAATAAAAATAAATGTATTTATTATGGTTTTACAGGGGGAACATTAAGGTATTTAGGCAGAAAGGATGCTTATGGTCATAAAAAAAAAAAAAAAAAGGTCCTTTTGCCACTTTCTTCAAATAGGGTACACAATATTCTGGAAGTAATGTCTTTTTTATTTTATTTTTTTCAACAAAGTAAACGGAGAGGCTTATTCAGAAAATATTTGTCAACATGAGGTCCGAATATGAGTTGAACCCCCGCTCATATTTTGGACTTTTGCTATTTTTGCAACGACCAACATGCCTCAATATACCGGTAGTAGTAAACCTGAACGCTGGTGAAAAAAAGTTTGAAGTACTAATATTACTGAAATAAAAATAAATTAAAACTTAGTAGAAATGTTTTTTTTTAAACTAATAAAAATGACAAAAGCCCATTTATAGGCCTACTATAATAAACAAAAAGTATAGGCCTACTAAAATCCCACTGAAACCTTGCTTTGCGTGATTTTGCCATTTTCTAGCAATTATGCACACAAAATATTGACAACTTAATGTGACATTTTTGCAGTTAAATTTAAAGTTAATTTTATATAATTTTTTGGTCTTAATGCAGGATTTTCGCCTCTAATGATTAAAGTCATTAACAACTATTCAGGTAAGTTCGAAAGACACCAAATCTTTTTCGAAATGCTCAGGGAATTCATATGTGACCATTTTCAAATTGTGTGATTCATTGCTTTCACTCTTGAGCTTTCAGGTGCTGTGATGGTGGAGGACAGGCCCATCATGAAGGGACGGGTAACAGTGTACTCAGTGCCAGGCTGTCCACACTGCACACAGGCCAAAGCTACTCTGCGAACACTAGGTGTGCCTGTGTGTGAGGTGGATGTGAACAAGCATGGAGAAATAAGGGCGCGAGTGAATGAGCTCACAGGTCACAGTGCCGTACCACAGATATTCTTCAATAACCTTTATGTTGGAAACAACGAGGACCTCCAGAACCTGGTGAGATAAGAAACTAACTGATGTGGGATTTCTAGTGATGGGAAGTCCAGATCATTTCACTGACTCTGACACTGATCTCTGAGTCTCGTTCAGCAAAATGAACGAATCTTTTTTCATTAATTTCAATATAATTAAAATGTTACATGTTAATAGCCAAATTCTCCAACACACAAACTTACGCAGACATTGATCACATTTAGAGTAAGAAAAAACTGTAATGCAGCCAAGGCAAATCACTTTCTTTTGTCATGTCACATCCCCATAGGCTGAAGTTGTGCAGTCGGTACCGGAAACAGAAATGATTAGTTCACCTCCCGAGTCTTCGTGTCTGAGTCGTTCGTTCATCATAAGTTATGGAAATTAAACATAATGACAGAAATTAATTTATTAATTGTAAGAAATTTGAGACCAGAAACGCATCACGTAAAAAAAACTAACTACGCGTTTGTTTGCGAGGAAGGTTGGGAATTATTTATTAATTTCTGTTTCCGATACGACTGTCACGTCACTGTCAGTCTCGGGAGGTGAACTAGTTATTTCTGTGTCCTGTACAGAACCTATGGTATATTACGCCTGCACGGTCAACACAAGATGAACGTATCACTCTCTGAGACAACTCGTTGTTCCCGAGTCATATTTAAAATTCGTTCAAAATGAACGTTCGTTCATGATCAACTCATCCCTAGTGTTTTCACTATTGACTAACCTCTGGCTTGATATTTGCTTCTAGGAAATGAGACTGAACCTCACAAAAACATGCCTTTTTGTGTATGTTCTTAGAATCCTGAGCGGCTGAAACGTCTTGTCCTGTCGGTAAGAGAGGAACCTGTGCCGCTGGACGCTCCACCTGTTCCTGTGGAAGATAGCACTGAGGCTGATGGAGGTTAGTACTGAAAAGGGCTTTTCACACTGAGCTTAACCCCGGGTTATCGTCGTTCTTAACCCCACTTTAAACCCTGCATTGCGATGCCAAACGTGTGCAGTGTGAAATGTTACAAAAATTACTTTAGAAAGATGGCAGCATCATATTTTTATTTTTACACATAGATAGGTAGGCCTGTTAGTACAATCTGTTGACTTAATCAATCCTGTTGCAACTTGCATTATTATGCCAATAGTGACAGACAGTTAAAAAATGGAAGCAAGCACCCCACCCAAAGTTGTCATGCCTGTAACTCAAGTAGAATTAAAGATATCTTAATATCCTTTTAGATTTTGGTTCTTAACAAACCTTTCTTTTTTTGTATCTTCTATTTGTATGGCTCTATATGGTTCGATGCCAGAGATATGGGGATCGCAATGTGGCTTCATGAGTAAATCGTTAAATTGTTCACATTTTCAGTGGGTCAAAAACCAAATGTGGGTCATTTTGCATACAGCTTACAGTTTTTTTCTTTTAAAGAGGAATTTCTGAAGAGCAAATAATGTTAAACTAGAACTAGAACTTTATGTCATTTCCTTCTATCAAAACAATTGCATAGAACATACCTGTGTCCCAAAAATATTATTTTTCCAAAGTTTGGATGCCTGTAACTCAAGAAGTATTAAAGATATCATTAAATTCTTTTTAGATTCTGGTTATTAACAAACTTTTCTTTTGGTATGTTCATTTTTAAGGCCCTGCATGGTTAATTCCAATAGGTATTGGGATCTCAATGCGGCTCCATGTGCAAATTGTTGATATTGAAAACTAAATGTGTGACTGGCCAAGGTTTTTTTTCCCCATATCACCAGCTGTTTCTCCAAGGAAACTAGCAAAAATCCTTACATTCAAAGTAGATAAGACTGGCTATACAGGAACATCTTCACCTGGACTGACAGTGAGAAGGTTTCCTTCCTCTGTTTAACACAAGAACTAAAACAATGGTTCAAAACACTGAAGGAATTTATTTGGGTTTAACATTAATTGTTATCACGCCACAAACGGGTTAGTTATGACTAGGACAAGTCAGAAGCACACATAATCTGTGTGGGACTAGTTGTGACTCTCGGTGGAACCTGTAAAACCTTGCTGCCCTGTCAATGATGACTAAACATTCAGCATTGTAGGTATGTAGTAAACAGAGTTACTGGCTTCCAAGGTGATCTTAAAGGATTTCAAGTGAGCTTTAGAAATAGCTAAGCTATGTTGTTGTTATTTCTAACTAAAACTAATTTTCAGTAATTGAAATAAAATAAGATATAAATATTAGATGAAAAACTTAAACTTATTTATTTGAGTTAGTTGCCAAAGCAACATTTCTAATTTTGGTCTAAGTTGAGGTACTCAAATTTAAATTTAAAGATATAAATAAATATTTAAATAACAATAATATAAGGACAAAAGCACCTATCAAAATGACTAAATCTTAAACTAAAATTAAAATGAGAAGTGAAAATATAAAAACAAAAGCTAATGAAAAATATTACTAAATCCTAAATGATACTAAAAACACTATAGTGACTACAATGCTTTTTTTAGTAGACAGGATGTAAGTCAAACCTTGGACTCGGACATGCCTTGCTTGCCTTCATATAGCATTTTTCAGCTTTCAGACACAGCTAGTCTATTGTAGAATAGTAATGGCGAGTTCCCATCCACAGACATTTTGGTGTTTACTTACTGTGAAAAACTGATTTGTTGAACTGTTGGCTGTTGGTGTGTTGGCTCTCCTAGTATGTTCCGACTCGACTCGCTTGCACTTTGTAGACAGGAAGGAAGCGGGTAAATTGGCCGTAGTTTAATAGTGATGAAGCATCTGAACACTGATCACTGGAGAAACTGCAGCATTCGGCCCCATGAGGGGATGCCACTGCCACTAGACTCACAATCTACACTCACCTAAAGGATTATTAGGAACACCATACTAATACTGTGTTTGACCCCCTTTCGCCTTCAGAACTGCCTTAATTCTACGTGGCATTGATTCAACAAGGTGCTTAAAGCATTCTTTAGAAATGTTGGCCCATATTGATAGGATAGCATCTTGCAGTTGATGGAGATTTGTGGGATGCACATCCAGGGCACGAAGCTCCCGTTCCACCACATCCCAAAGATGCTCTATTGGGTTGAGATCTGGTGACTGTGGGGGCCATTTTAGTACAGTGAACTCATTGTCATGTTTAAGAAACCAATTTGAAATGATTCGAGCTTTGTGACATGGTGCATTATCCTGCTGGAAGTAGCCATCAGAGGATGGGTACATGGTGGCCATAAAGGGATGGTCATGGTCCGAAACAATGCTCAGGTAGGCCGTGGCATTTAAACGATACCCAATTGGCACTAAGGGGCCTAAAGTGTGCCAAGAAAACATCCCCCACACCATTACACCACCACCACCAGCCTGCACAGTGGTAACAAGGCATGATGGATCCATGTTCTCATTCTGTTTACACCCAATTCTGACTCCACCATCTGAATGTCTCAACAGAAAGCGAGACTCATCAGACCAGGCAACATTTTTCCAGTCTTCAACTGTCCAATTTTGGTGAGCTCTTGCACCCATTCTCCTCTGACCTCTAGCATCAACAAGGCATTTTCGCCCACAGGACTGCCGCATACTGGATGTTTTTCCCTTTTCACACCATTCTTTGTAAACCCTAGAAATGGTTGTGCGTGAAAATCCCAGTAACTGAGCAGATTGTGAAATACTCAGACCAGCCCGTCTGGCACCAACAACCATGCCACGCTCAAAATTGCTTAAATCACCTTTCTTTCCCATTCTGACATTCGGTTTGGAGTTCAGGAGATTGTCTTGGCCAGGACCACACCCCTAAATGCATTGCACCATACCCCTAAATGCACTTGTTTATGTGATTGGTTGATTAGATAATTGCATTAATAAGAAATTGAACAGGTGTTCCTAATAATCCTTTAGGTGAGTGTATAGTCTGGTGCCTTCTCTCTTCTATAGGCTTCTGTTGCTTATTTTAGCTGCTAGGGTTTCATCTTTCTCTTTGGGGACCCTACCTTTCTGTACTCTTAAATGTGCTCAGTTCTGCATGTGTCTTTAAATCATGAAGCTCAATGATTCTCTAGTCTTGCAGCGTCTGGACTGTTTTTGACATTGGTTAAATGTTAGTTGCCTGGTTGTTTTTATCAAAATGTTTGTAAGGTAACACTATATTGATTTTCCTCAATCGTTCATTTTGATTTCAGCAACTCTGTATTAAACTGCTGTCAATTAAGCCTTTTACATACAGACTCCATTATTATTTACGATATTATAATAATAAATATTATTCATAAATAATACGATAAAATAACATTATTTTTCTATTATTATTTGATGCTCTCAGTCACACTCTCAGTGTGCTATCTATTTTTAGTTTTTGTGATTGGGCCTTGATTATTTAAATTGAATAATCAGGATTACGGTTACAGGTGCGGTGATGAATTAATCACGACAAGTGTCATTCACAGCGTTCCATTAAAGTCTATGCAGTGCACGTGGCATCAAAATGTGCTACTGAACGTGGAACATATTTTTTGCAGATGCTGTGCATTTTTAGCCTGGGAAAACCCAGACAACTTCCGGCAAATTTAGATTTGCTCTGAAAGTTAGTCTGGCAAAGAGCTCATTCAAGCCCATTTCCAATCCGTCGAAATCGAGGCACCAATCAGAAACGTTGGGGCGGGCTTTACACGATGACGACAGCGCTGGGATTTTGAAGCAGATTTTGCATCCTAACTTACATTACAAAGATGGATGCCGCCGTCGAACATCACTCGTTCGAATCAGCTATCGCGTCTGTTTTAAGCGATTTGAACGTTTCCTTTTTGTTAAAAACCGAGCAAAGAACAACACTCAGAGATGTTTCTCCGCCGCTCTGCATACGTCATCTCCTTCATCGCTCTGATTGGGTTTAGGTCTATCCGCGACGTCCGTTTAGTGACGCCCCTCTGGAAATGATGTGTCTATGACGCTTTGCCAGACCATAACTCAGTTACAACTGAGAATGGTCTGGTTTTAACCAGGCTAAAGCATTTTAACATGCCTGTTGCACAAACGCAATGTGAATCTGATTTAATACCGTTCAAAAGTTTGGAGTCTATATGATTATTTAAAGTTTTTGAAAGAAGTCTCTTATGCTCATTAAGGCTGAATTTATTTGGTCAAAAATACAGTAGAAACAGGATTATTGTGAAATAATATTATTACAATTTAAAATAAGTTTTCTATTTGAATATATTTTAACGTTTTCAGCATCTTCACTCCAGTCCTCAATGTCACATGATCCTTCAGAATTCATTCTAATATGCCCATCTGGTGGTTAAAAAAAACAATTCTTATTATTATTATCATCAATGTTGAAAAAAATGTATGCTGCTTAGTATTTTTGTGGAAACCATGATGAAAAAAACACTGATCCCAACCTCTTTTTGATGAAATTATGATGTCATAATTGTGTAGCCCTATTTATAAAATGTTTTAAGAAATCTACAACTTATTATATTACATCATTTGATTTTTCAGCATTCACAGACAACAGTGACTTCGTCGTAATACTTGCATACTGAATTTCAATTGGTCCTCTGTCTTAAATCTATTTGCATTCTTTTATTGATTAGTCTTGTCTTTCTCGCATATTTTGAATCATTTAACCACTCGCTGAGTGCCGCCACAACAGCAAACCGGCTCTGATGCTGCATTACATGTAGACCGAAACCCAAACTTACTTATAACTTTAACACTGTTCTTTTGCTGCCTTACAAGCTTTGGTAATTCTTTCAGGAAACTCAAATCTTGTTTTAAAAGTATATCGCCTATGGCCTTTTGTGTTTGGTTGTTTCAGTCATTTTTATTCTCTTTTTTGTGACACTTGCCCTAAGCAGCGTGGGAGCTCTCAGAGGCACTGAGGAATCTGATCCTGAAACTCTACTCTGATCACCTCTCAGAAGATGGCAAGGTAACACACTGTTTCACCATCTCATCACAGGCTGCATATCAAATAGCTGCAAGACCATGTTCAATGGATTCGCCACAGACATGAACACTACATGCACTCAGACATTTAAATGACCTACGGAGCGTTCCACCACATTATGTTTTAAATAAGTAAGGTGTGTGTCATTGTGACCGTGTGGGTCTCCACTCTTGACCAGACAGTTGATTACAAAGCCATGTCCCGGAGCCTGTACTTCGAGCGGTACTGTGATCTAGCTGTCCAGCTTCAGCGCGTGGAGCTGCTGTCAATGAGTCGAGAAGAGAAACTGGCCTTCTTTATCAACATCTACAACGCCCTCGTCATCCACGGGAACCTGCGTCTGGGCTTCCCCAAAAACATATGGCAAAGGTATCGGGTAAGACACAAGGAGAGAAAATGGATTGTAAAGTGGGGAAAATGTTTTAATTCTTTCAGTGCTTGTACATTTGTTGTCTTGTTTTCCAGTTCTTCAACTATGTGAGCTACCTCATTGGTGGTGAGGTGTTCACGCTGCAGGATATTGAAAACGGAGTGCTTCGAGGAAATCGAAAAGGTGTGGCACAAATCATGAAGCCCTTTTCCAGGAACGACCCTCGACTGCAGGTATCCCAGGAAGAGGATGAGCGGTTTGTTCAGTATAAGCTCATTCCTCAATATAATATGATTGTTAATATTATTAATGTTGCTGTGTTTCTTGTTGGAAAGTTGCTTACAGTATGTCAAGGGGCAATTCTGATTTAATGTTGCCTGCCTGTCATTTATTGCAATAAACGTACTTAATTTTGTTAACAACAGCACTATTTTCAGTGATTTACTTAAGCAGGTTTCTAGGTGTATTTGGAAATATTTTGTTTTGCTTTATTAAACCGAAATTATGACTTAATTAAACAGAAATTACCACAGATATTAGGCCTGTCAAAATAATAAAATAGTTTAAGAAGATTAAAAACAATGAACTGTAATTTCTTTGTAATTAGTGGTTTAACCCAGTGATTCTCAACCTTTTTTACTTTCTGTCTAAGCTAATATGTACCTCTGGTACTTATATGGTATATTTCATAAATATAAATAAATTTAAGAATATTATTTCAGTTTAATGTTTTTATTTATTTATATTTAATTATTATTTTAAATTATATATATTTTGTGCATTTTGATTAAGATTGTTAATATAATTTACGATTTATTGGGGCCCCCCTCGATGTTTGCTGAGTCCCCCCAATGGGCCCCGACCCCCTGGTTGAGAGAAACTGGCCTAAACCTATTCATTTTCTTTTCAAGGAAAGAAAAAAATATTTGATGTGCATGATACCAGTATATCCAGACAGTTCAAATGTTTGTGGTCAGTGAGATTTTTATGAAAATGAATACTTATGAAGAAATTAATACTTTTATTCAGCAAGAATGCATTAAACTGTTTAAAAGTGACAGTAAAGACATTTATAATGGTGCATAATATTTCCATTTCAAACAAATGCTGTTCTTTTGAACTTTCTATTCATCAAATAATCCCAAAAAAATGTATCACAACTGTTTTAACATTGATAATAATAACTTATTTTAAGTTGTAATAATATTTAACAATATTGCTGTTTTCACTGTATTTTTGATCAAATAAATGCAGCCTTGGTGAGCATAAGAGAATCCTTTCAAAAACATAAAAAAAATTCTTACTGACCTCAAAACAGGGGTGCTCTGAAACTGTGGGGGTACTTGAGACAAAAAATGCTGCGGGAAACACTGGAGTAAAAGATATCTGAGAATGCTATTAACAGCAGTAATGTGTGTGTCATCCATTAGGTGGCGCTTCCTGACGTTGAGCCTCTCATTCATTTCGCACTGAACTGTGGTGCAAAGGGCTGCCCTCCAATTAAGACATACACACCACAGGTTAATCCCCAAAGGACTCTCATTTACAATACGCTCTATAGATGTCTATACATTCTTTCTGACTGTGTAAAAAGCATATTGTGTTTAAATTTCCATGCATGTCTCACACCAGGACATTGATGGTCAGTTGCGTACCGCAGCGGAAGCGTTCTTGGAGAATGACGACAGCTGCGTGATTGACAGCGTGGGGCGAGAGGTCAAACTCAGCCAGATCTTTAAGTGGTACAAGGAAGACTTTGGAGGCACTGATGAGAAGGTATTACGAAAATATATCTTCACAAAGATGATGTTTAGCGATGAAATTCATCTTTTACTCGCATAATGTTATGACTTTCTTTCTTCTGTTGCCTATAACACTAAAGGAGATATTTAGCAGAATTTCTAAGCTGCTCTTTTCCATACAGTGCAAGTGGTTGGGGAGCTTGTTTTGGGTCTGTCTTTAAAGAGGACATATTATGCCCTTTTATACAGTCTTGATTTTGTTTTTGGAGTCTACTAGAATAGGTTTCAATGCTTGAATGTTCAAAAAACACATTATTTTCCACATATTATTCATTGTTGCAGCCCCTTTGTTCCCAGTCTGTCAGTAACACTCAGTAACACTAGTTCCTGTGTCTATGAAGCCTCTCCTTCCAGCGCAGTGTGCTCTGATTGGTTGACTGGATCAGTGTGTTGTGATTGGTCAACCACTGCAAGCGTGTTTTGGAAAAGTCATGCCCCTTTCCATAAGCGCAAGTTTCATCACACTACTAATGCAACTCAACCAGGCCTCGCCTTGAGCCTTAAGCGGGAATTATTTAAATGAGGAATACTGCGATTTGTACATTTCCAGAAGAAGACTCAAGACTACAATCGAGTCATTTCAGGCAGTGCTTACTAATAACTCCCTTTGGAGTGACTCTGCTTTATAGACCTTTGTTTGCTTTGAAGAGCATGACCTTTTTTATTCCTCAAACTGCAACATTACTCACTGAAGAAAGATGAAAATGTAAAACAAGCATTGTAGGTCCTCTTTAAAGATACACTTGATCAGCTTGTAATGTTTTCTTTTTCAGCTGCTGAACTGGGTGTTTGATCATATGGGAGCGTCAGAGAAGAAGAGGAATCTACAGTCTCTGCTGTCAGAAGGAAAGGTCAAAGTGAGCTATCTGCCCTATGACTGGTCTATAAACAGCACAAACTGAACTAAACCACATTCTCATGCATATGATCACTCTATCACTGACTCAATGTGGGCTTCTGTCGAACACATGCAGCGGAGATGAGAGATTCAGAACCCTGAAAATGATAACTATGCATTACGATTCCCTTTACCTTGTTCCTTCACCTCGCAAAGGGCAATGTGTTACTGTAGCTGAATATTTCTGACGACATTTTTTACCTGTAATCTTCTAAATTGTATTGCGGCATTTTGCACTTGATTATTATGCAGTTAAATGTTTTATATATTCTCCTACAAGAATGTCTTTGTAAACAAATATAATTTAATTTAATTTATCTACATTATCATATGCATTGGTATACATTTCTTTTGTACATATTTAATTTAGAGTTTCTAGCCAGACTGAAAAGTAAAAAATAACTCATGAATCACAATGAAACACAAGAACTTTGCACAGACTGAGCAATGGTGCATATTTCTTATAATATATTTTTTTTTACTGAATGACCTCAAGGAACAATATTTAATCATTTTTATATATGCGCACCAATTCAACAATACACAGTAAGCAACAGCAATAGTTACCTACATTTAACTATTTAAATATATGAAAGATTTGCACAGATACTTGTTTTCAGTTGATGGCACATATTAGGAGATGCTATTAAAATGTCTAAATTCACAAATATATATATATAAAATTAAATATCTCTATATCTGTCTATTCACAATTTCACCCAGAAAAGAACATTTTTGTCTTCATTTACTCACCCCTATTTGTCAAACCATATTTTCTTTTCTTCTATGAAAAAAAAGGGAAAGTGAATGGCTATTTAATTTAAATTCCACCACAAAGGGAAAAAACGTCGTAAAAGTGTTCAATATGCCATGTAAGCTATAATCCAAGTCTTCAAAAAGCCATATGATATTTGTATATCAGATAAATTAGATTAAAAAAAAATGATTGACTGGTATTTTTAAGTTTCTGCACGTCGAGTGCTGTTCACTGTTTCAGTGCTCGCTTTTTTATATCTGGACATGTCGTTTCCTGAAAGATCTGAAGGGAAATGCATAGGACATGGAAGATTTTGAGGCATGGATTAGTTTGTGTATCTTTCATGCTGTTTGTTGTACTTTGACTCTTTGACTCTGTCTGAATGATGGATGTATTCAGCAGAGAACCGAGCAGCACATCAGAATGATACCAGCCAGTAGCATCGAGTACTTTTTGAAATGCATGATGTGTTATTTGATAAATTATTGAAAGGGCATCAGGGCTGATGGAATCTCATAACTGGTTTCTCATAAACAGGGCCTGTTTCGTATGATGCGATTCAGTGCCTGATTTGATCAAGCGGTTAACAAGAATCCCCATAATATTTTTATAGAAAATAGGATCCAGACTGAAACTTTCTGAAAATCGATTCCCCATCCGTCTTGCTTAAGGCAGTGAAAATCCTCATGAACTTGGAAGCCTTTTTTGAATCCGCGAGCAACACGACAACGCGGAAAAATGCTGTTTTAATAGATGTTGATTTACTGTGAAGCACTCATAGGCATGTCATTTATCCTTTAATGCATGTGATACTATAGAATAGTATTGCAAGGGCTGATGCTGTCAGAAGCACGAGTAAAATGAGGTTTGGTACCTCCTGTTTCAGCCAGTGCCTTTTCACCTTTGCATGAGACTATTATTCTCATATTAAACCACTTGACCGCACATCTCATTGCTTCAGGAAATCAGTTCGTTTGAAACTGTAATCTGCAAGCAGAGAGAGATTGGTGAATCATAGCTAGAAAAAAAAAGGTCCCAGAGTTACCTCATCCTTATCTCGTTCACTGTAAGGACGGATATCAATGCAATGCAATTACCCTGAACAAAATGTCAGGATGAGACTCATTCGTATGCATGGAAATGATTTGAATCTAGAGCAATACTGCAATACTGTCTTTTATAAATGAATTACGATAAAATAAAGTATATTCAACAGACATTTCATGTGCCCTTATTTTTGTTGAAATGAAAAGATGGCAGACAGTGTTGGGGGTAATGTGAGTTATGTAATCAGATTACTTTTTTCAAGTAACGAGTAAAGTAATGCATTACTTTTTGTGAATTTGCAACAAGAATCTGAGATGCTTTTTCAAATAAGTAACGCAAGTTACTTTGTTATTGACTGACAGCTCTCCGGTCCCTGTGCAGAGATGCTGTGTTATTGTAGTTCTTGTAGTTCTAGACTAAATGTAAGCATGCACTTACCGGTACTCCTCTCTCTTGCGCAAAAACAGATTCAGTATTCCTCAAAATGAATAAAAACAGAAATGCAAACTCACAATATTACTCAAACCTGCAATAATTAAACATGTTTACACTAATATACTTTATGTATTTAATCTCACTTTATTAACCAATGTCTTTACTGCTAATCTTTGATGATCCAATTACTAATAAGCAAAAAAGACTTCACATTTCACATCACATTTGTTTAATTTTTTTTTTTTTTTTATTGCTAAAATAAGAGTTTTGAACTTTCTTCTCCTGTGTCCTATTCTTCAGCAATCAAGCAGAAGGCATATTCATTTCAATTTTGGTGTGAAAGGGCCTTTATATTTGCCAAAAAAAATAGTTTTATTTATTTGTTATTAAAAAACAAGCAAGCCCAGCCCAGGTTAGAAAAAGCAATGGAAAAGTAACGTGTAACATTTGATTCCATTAAAAGTAATTTACAAAATGAGTTACTTTTTTAGGGATTAACCCAATATTGTAATGCATTGCTTTTAAGTTACTTTCCCCACACTGATGGCAGATTTGTTGTAAATAATGTTAATAATAGGATGCAACTTACTATATAACCATGCGTACAGTTAATACAGGAAAAATAGGCAGAACAATCTTTAAATAAAGGAAAAATGTTTTAAAAAATGGCCAATAAAGCTGTACAGCATTTTGCTGCAAATTCATCCGTCACTTTGTAGAAGCACCATAGACCGATGCCAACATGGACCGGTTATGCCAGACACATGTATTATGCATTAAATTATTGACTGCCGAGAACATGAAACTATCAAAATGTAAGAAAAACAAACAATATGCAAAACAAACAACATGCAAAATAACTTTTGCATATTGTTTTTCCTATGCAGTTCATGGTAATATTTCCAAATATAATATCCAAATGTACAGTCTGGGTTCTGAAGAAAGCCCAGTTGAAAGTCACTGACTGGACTAATAGTCCTGTTGCAGTGTGTGTAATATTCAGAGGGAGGCAGTGTTGCTTTATGCTCAACATCACTAGACCAAAGTAAACCATGGAATTGAAAAAATAATGAATTTCTTAATACTTAGTTTGTCTCTTTTTTTGCTTTAGTGTTAGCAGCACTTAAACGGCATGAATAAGTTTGTGTTAAACCTGTTGATCATGTTCTCCAACATGACTTGAGATGGTCCAGAGAACATCTCAAACTTCAATGAACCTCTGTCCATCTGGACAAAGTCACATGATCAGATATTATTTGATTAGTGACCTTTAGTGCACTTTTACACTTTTAAGTTTTTTTTTTCATAACACCAAAACTCAGTTCCATGTTTAAATTCCCAGATTCTCAATGTAGCCTCAGACTTTTGGACACCACTATGTATTAAATTCTGGTTATTAGTCATGAGTGTCACGCATAAGCAGTAGTTCAGACAGTCTGCCTGAAATGAAAATATCACTGTTACACAGTCTTAGGTTTGAACGTCATAAGACTGTTGGGAAGCTTTTTGCAACGCTGTTTGCCTTGAGCATCATTTGGGTTCATGACCGTGAGACTAGCGAGAAGCTAATTCTTCAGCCCACCAACCGTATTCTCACGATACGTGTCCAATCGCACAACTTATTAACCGCAGTTGATGAGCTCGCCTTGCCACATTGCACACAGACATCATAAACAAATCCAGAAGATTCAAATGCCTGTTGTTGTCAATACTGAGCAAAAGCCTCTGGTGTTATACAAGATATTGATGATAAATGAAGCCTTTTAAGAACTACAGGTCTCAAGTAATGGATGGTAAACCAGTGTTTTGAAAGTAATTTCAGTGATGTTCAACTAAACTATAGTAGCCTATATATATATATATATATATATATATATATATATATATATATATATATATATATATATATATATATATATATAGCATGCTCTTTTCTTTTTAGCTTTACCTTTTGTCTTTCCTTTAAAAAAAAAGTACCATTCAAAATGTCATTCATACAGGCTAACGCTGGGAACATGGATGGACCTGAGGCACAACAAGACGTGTACCGCTATTTTGGGTCTTATAGAAAAATATATATGCTTTTATCTGCATTCAACAGAAGCTCCCCTGGTGATTTTTTTTAATAGGCTCAACTGTATTTGGGTTAAGAAACGGATGCTGTGTCTTAAACAGGGAGGAGTAGGGTAGAGTACAGCTATCTGAAAGTGTAAAATGCCATTTTTGCCACTATTTTTCTTAGTGGCTTAGATTAGCTAAGTTTTTCTCTAACTTGGATTCCATAGGTTACCATACTTGGCCTTCACATATCACTTTCTTTGTACTTTCACTTTCTGTCTCTCTTGTTCTCTCTCTCTCTCTCTGGTAACATCCTACTGTACATACACTCTGGGTACAATTAACTGTGTTTTATACATCTACATCAAGACAGTTTATACAGTACATCTTGTAACCAAATAAGTGTAAACAACCAAATACTGTTATTAAACCTTCTCAAATATAACCTTCAGTATTAACATTTGCAGTACAATCGTCACACTATAGCTATGCTCTCACATATTCTGCTATGATAACTGTGCTTATTTCTGTCATTGGTATTAGTAGTAGTGGGTGGTAATAGACAAGAAATGTACAGTTTTGTACCATCTTGCTGATAATAACACTTAGTCATTCTGCAATCTTGCAGCCTGAACCACAGTAGGCAGACCACACTTGTATACTCTATATTTTGTAATTCTGTTTAGTTTTATTGTGTTTGTCATTTCAACGTTTTTTTTATTTTATTGTCTATAGTATTGTCACGGGTGGTAGCAGGAAGGCAGACGAAGATGATGAATAAAGTCCAATATGAAGTGTAATGAGGTAATATAAATAACACAGACAGGCTGGGCAACACACACTGAAGGTAACGTAGAGACAGAGAATGAATGTGAGGGATGAACTCATAAAGCAAACACAATTGAGGATAATTAATAGAACACAGCTGACACTGATGAACTAATAATGACTGTAACCAAGGAGACCGATGAGTGGCGGGAATCTGAACAAAGACGTGACAACTGAAGACAAACTGAAAGTCTATGAAAACAAATTTAAACTGAACTGAATGCTGACAAGTTTTAATATTTTAGTACATCAAGTTAAGCTAACTGCAATTGAGAAATGTTGCCTTGGCAACTAGCTGAAATACGGAGCCAGGCGGGAAAAAATAAATTGTGGCCACTAATTTGGAATTTGTTCCCACAACTTAATTAATTTGTTTCTTCGTTTTGGTAAACTTTGAACTAATTCATTCTCCATTTCCTCTGCCATGCATGATTTAGTAAAACAAGGGAACGAATTATTATATTGTGTGCACAATTTAGTTAAAACAAGGGAATATTTTTTACTGGCCATGTTTTTGCAAAAAACAGGCA